TAACTAACACACCCTAAATTTATATATATATATATATATATATATATATGTATGTATGTATGTATGGTAAACGTATTTTCATGGTATATAGACATCATTTCTAATTTTTCAATAAATAGTTTACTTAAACTTTATATACGATCTAAATAGTGGATTAATCCTTATAAAATTTCTATTTTTTAGAGAAACGTGTACACCTAAGATCTCAAATCTCTTTATTATTCATACTATGTCAGTGCATGATGCAGTTATGCATTAAAACAAAAAAAAAATCATATTTTCTATTTTATTTTGAAATATGGGGATTACTCCCAACGAAAAGATTATTTTTCCGATAAATGATATCTATATTATTTAGCTTCTTTAGTGTTGCTTAAAAATACCTAACCACACTTTACATCTAATTATATGTATCCTAAACTTATTTTAATTGTATATGAACATCATATTTAATTTTCTAATGAGTAGTAGTGTATTTAAACTTCATATATTACTTAATAATAAGTAGACTAATCTCTATAAAAAAAAATCTATTTTCTGGAAAAAATTTACTTGAGATCTTAAGCCTCTTAGATTTGTTGCATCTAAGCCCAAATCGACCCATCGTCGCTCTTCTATGCTATGTGATTGGTGGTGCTTCTTTCCCTAACTTTACTTACATAGAAAGTAAATACAGTAGTGTAAAAACATAAAATATCAAAATAACAATGGATGGGATGTCGAGTGCATTTTTGGTCCGACATCATTCATATAATTGAAGCAACCAGACACCCAAAAAAGACGAAACAACTTGAAGCCACCCTTAGATATTGTCCAGATACTTCTTTTTCTGTAGGTTTAGTTTATGGAATGATATATCAACACACCTACAGAATAAAGATTGGAATAAAATCATATATCTTCCTATCAATATACGATGACATCTATTTTTCACAATATTTAGAGAACAACAAGACAAAGGACCATTCTTGATAAATTAGAAAGCAATGATGTTATTCCAAAGGACCACCTTGGCTATGTCTGTAATGAACTCCATCCATGGAGGGTAAACTCATTTCGATTAATTCAATGCTTGTTTGTTCAAAAAAAAAAAAAAAGCAATGATGTTATTTTGGTAACTCTATGTATTTTATGCATTTAATCAGCAAGTCCCGTGATGATTTTTTTTTTTGTGTACTCGAACCATCTGAAGTAGTTTCAAAGACGAGCAATGTATAAAAATTTGATTTGTTCTTTAATCGTCTAGTGTTAAGTTGTTTATTTCTCGAAATAAACGAACCGACGTAACAGTTTCTTTGTGTATACTGATTTTAAAATATAGTGTTGTTTGTTATGGTCCGTACATGTCGGTTCTTGCTTCTGGCTATCCTTGCATGGCTATCCAATCGCTTACCTATTCATAGATGACATTATTTAAATGAAATACAACCATTATTTATTATTGATACTAGTCACTATTAAATCATGGAAAATCTAATGTTTTTATTTTTGGTAAAGAATCTAACATTATTAATAGTTCACATCAAACTTTAAAAAGGGTGGACATGCGAGGAACCTACCATTGCAGCGACCAATACGAAGCTGGGTGTTGTTTCGAATCTTTTTTTTTCCTAAACACAAGAATTGCATCTCCTCTGATTGCCGCTACGTGGCATCTCATATACCCTTCAACATATATTTTTTTTATTTCTAACGTTTCTTATAAAATTTTCAAAATTGTAACATCATATCTAGGTTCAGAGCACTGATGATGTGAATATGAAAATGTTTAAGAAAATTGATTTGATTATCTATATTATCAAAATATATTTATATATTCGGAGATATATCTAGAGAAACTAAAATTAAATGTGCTTAAATTACACTAGTTAAATAATGGGTGACTAGTCAAATATACTCAAAATATATTTATCGAAAAATGATTCAAGTGAGAATAAATACGAAAAAATGTCATGTGATGATTACAGAATTAGTAAACATAATTTTCAAATCTTACAAAAGTTAACACACCATCCATTAGACGGATGAGCCCACAGGCCGAGTGAGCGGATGGGGATCACAGATAGAGTGAACGGATGTAAAAGGTCCATTAACCGTAGGTAGATGGGACGTTACAAGTGATATCATAATAAAATCCATACGAGTCTGGAGTCGGTGATTGTTCACACCAACATGGATAATGATTTTAAGACGCAATAAGGATGTTACATTCTTTATGAGGTGTGAATTGTAACATTCTGATTTGTGGTATATATAAAAATACTAAAGAGAATTGATTTGGCTACTTATGTCATTAAAGTGTGTTTATCTTTTCGAGAGTATATTCAGAGAGAATTCCAGAATTAAATGTGCTTGAATTAGATTAGTTAAAAAGGTGGATAATCTATCGGAAAATAATTTTCAGTATCATGTGAGTGAGATTAAAGTACGTAGAAAGGTCATATGATAATTTTAAATATAATAATTTTAAAGGTAATAATAAAGATTGCGAAATTTTCAAAAAATTAACATACCGACCGTCAAACGGAAAGAAATCTAAAGGCCGAAAGTGCAGCCGTAGATGGAGAAGATATTATAATAATACTGGTGGTAATACGTTATTGAATCATTATGCATTTAGAGTTAAGACTTTAAAATGATATAACCTAATTATGTTAACGAATCAAGTTGCCTAATAACAAACATTTGTATACACAACATGAAAAATAATATTTTTACAAATAAATGTAAATTTCACAAATGTAACCTCAGTCGATCTTGGTTAGACCTTGGTAGTTTTATAGATCTCTAAATTTCATTAACTGAGATATACACAACATGAAAATAATATGTTTACAAATAAATGTAAATTTCACAAAGGTAAGTTCCTCAGTCGATTTTGATTAGACCTTGGTAGTTTTATATCTCAACAGTTTCCACACGAATACATTAAAATTTAGTTTCCTAAAATGTACATATTTTTTCCATAGGGAATGGGATAAAGAGAAAATGTATTATAACAGAACACTAAATAATAGAAGATAAAAAGCTACATAGGGATACACAACTAGTTGCAGTCCATCTCAAACTCTTTACAATATACCTCGGGAGAAAAAAAAAGAGCTAGTAAAATTGTATAAGAATATTTTTCCATTTCGTAATAAGAAGCAATACAATCTGTCGTAGATATTTTCCTCAAGAACACTATTTCATTTGGATAGACATCCCAACCCTATGAAGAAGGATATCTATTTTTCCTTAAAAAAGGATATGGATCCTTCCAACAAAAATTATCTTCTTGACAAAGATGCTCGACATACTTTTAAGCTTTATTATTTATAATTAAATACAACTAACACTTAGAACATCATTATCGCATAAATCTTTAATGAATTTTCTTTTTCTTTCGTTTTGTATGATTAAAGAAATTTTTTTTAAAAGAACTAATTGCGGATCACCGCGTATTAGTGGGACATACGAATAATACAACAAACCCATCGAAAACATCTTTTATTTTAAAAGAACTATGGCCTTCCTCCTCCTTAAGAAACGTGGTAAAACCCGCGATGCTGATACTCTTAATACTGTAAAACAAAAAATAAGTTAAAAAAATCAAAACTGGAAAAGCACCATCAAATATAGCTTTACTTCCACGGTCAATGACAAAGGCCAGTTAGCAGTACGAAATACGATTTATTCATGAACATACTACGATTGATTTCTATACATGAACACTTCCGAAACATTTATGATCTATCCAAACTATAAAATAATCTTAGCACTAGTTAGTACAATTTTGCAAGATAGAAGCTCCGATCATGAACACATTTATATAGTCCATTACTTTTGGCACCTCAATATATTTCTTGTACTCGTCGCTGCGTATGACTATGTGTCATTTATACATATTATCTGAAGCAGCTCTTTAAGTAATAATAACAGTACGAAATTATACATAGCAGACGTGGAACAATAACGCACTCTAGAATGGAACAAAACGTTGCTGATTCGTTGACAGCGACATTGCTAAATGTTTTGTCTTTTAGATATTTTCTAGACTCAGGTGTGGCAAAAAAAAAAAAAAACTTAAAGTTTTAGATATCAGTCTTACAGATTTATGGACCACTAGTTTGATCTTATGTGTTATTTACAACTATAAGCATTTCATAAACTCTATTTTTGTGGTGATAGAGAGAAACACTCGGATTCATTCCAAGCCATACCGTACGCATCTACTTTGTAGTAGTTGGTGACAAGTATCAAAACAATATCTCAAAATTGGTTTTATAAGAGTTATTCGTTAAAACGTTGACGACCATACAAGAAAGGGTAGGCTTCTAAGAAAAAATAGACTAATTTAACCATTCTAATTTAAAATTAAAAAAAAAAAAAAAAAACCATTCTAATTAGATTCATCGTACCTGTTGTTGATTCGAGGACAAAGGTCGGTGTTTTGGATATGAATGTTTTATAGTTTCGAAAGTCAAATAACCATTAGGAGATGTTGAATTTGTTATTCATTCATGAAAAAGAAAACAAATACAAACTACACAAATGATTGGAGAAACCTATGTAAAAAAAAAGTAATATGAATTTTGCGATTCAGGGAGCCCTAATCTCCATCAAACGAATCACTCAATAATTAAATAATAACATAATTTTGTAGTAAGATAATGTTACAATAATCCTGTTTGACTAATAGTCATAAAAGCTTCAAACTCCTTCTTTTTTCATAATACAAAACCTCAATGATGATACCCAAAAATAAAATCTGCTGTCATTTTACAGATAATGATTGAAAAAACAATTTAAAACCTGTTACTATCCAGCAATAACTGACCAGTGACATTTTTTTCACAATTTTATTGGTGTCGATACATTTAAATAGAGAATTAAAAGATTTTGTAGCTTGGGTTTTGAACAGTTTGATCGTTTTCGTACGGTATTGTAAGATTTTTATCCTCTCTTCCGCTATATAATACACACTCCTCCAAGTACATAACTCCATGTCTCTGCCTTAATAGCTATCAAAAGTGCCACCAGAAAGAAAAGAAAAAAAAGAATCTCTGTGAAAAAACATACAAAAACATCAATGGCTGTCTTGTCTAAACCGGCTGCAGAACCAAAACCCGGGTTTTCTCCAATACCGGTTATAGATATCTCTGACCCGGAATCCAAACACGCCCTTGTCAAAGCCTGTGAAGACTTTGGGTTCTTCAAGGTGATTAACCATGGTGTTTCCTCTGAGCTAGTCTCTGTTCTTGAACACGAAGCTGTTGAGTTCTTCTCATTGCCCAAGTCAGAGAAGACCCAAGTCGCAGGTTATCCGTTTGGATATGGGAGCAGAGAGATTGGTCGGAATGGTGACGTGGGTTGGGTTGAGTATTTGTTGATGAATGCTAATCTTGACTTCGGTTCGGTTCCATTCCCAGGAATCTTCAGGTTGGAATCATCTGTTCTGTTTTTTTTTTCTTTTTCTTAAATGTCTCTTGTTTAGTTAACACCTTTCATTATCATACTCTGTTTCTTCCTCTGTTTCATGCTCTGTTTTGTAGTTCATGTTCCGTCTCTTTCTCTACTTTATGTCTCATTTCTCTTTTTTTTTTTTTACTTTTATAAGTATTTCCACTAACCGGACAAACATACCTGCTATTCTGTGTCCGTTTAAAACAAACGGACACACAATAGCCGAAAAAATCAACATAAAACATAGCTGACGGAGAAGTTTAAGCATCTCGTGTAAGCTTTTCCGCTATTTTGTGTCTGATTAAAATTAATACTCATGTTTTGTTTTGCAGAAATGCGTTGCTAGAGTATACAACATCAGTAAGGAAAATGACATGCCATGTTTTGGAGATGATGGCAGATGGGCTAGGGATCAAACCTAGGGACACACTTAGCAAGCTTGTGTCTGATCAAAACAGTGATTCAATGTTCAGACTTAATCACTATCCACCATGTCCTATTACCAACAAAACTACTAATGGTGGCAAGAATGTGATTGGTTTTGGTGAACACACAGATCCTCAAATCATCTCTGTCTTAAGATCTAACAACACTTCTGGTCTACAAATCAGTCTTACTGATGGCTCCTGGATCTCTGTCCCTTCTGATCCCTCCTCCTTCTTCTTCAACGTCTGTGACTCTCTCCAGGTACGGTCTCAATCATCAAGTAACTATATTAAAAAATATAACCGTGGGTTGTGTGAACCCAACCAATATGCAACCATGAGTTGCTTAATCGTCAAGTATCTAAACATTTTGCTTTGTGTGCTGATCTTGAAGGTGTTGACAAATGGGAGGTTCAAGAGCGTGAAGCATAGGGTTTTAGCCAATAGCAGGAAATCTAGGGTTTCTATGATCTACTTCGCTGGACCTTCGTTGACTCAAAGAATCGCTCCGTTGACTTGCCTTTTAGACAATGAAGATGAGAGTTTGTACAAAGAGTTCACTTGGTCTGAGTATAAAAACTCTGCTGAAAACTCTAGGTTGTCTGATAATAGGCTTCAACGATTCCAAAAGAAACCTGTGAACGTTTCATAAGTTTTTTTGTTCGTGATTTGTAAGTTGAAATACAAATCTAAAAGTGTGCCATATATATATCATCTGTATATGTATGTTTGAAGTTAAATATTGATCCAATAATTGTGAAAATGCGACGTTTTTTTCTTTTCTACTATCAGTATCGTTTTTATAAGTTATGGTTACATCAAACATTTGTTCCCTTTTGTAATTTATTTTGCTCACATAATAACTGATGGAATCATTTAAGGTAGTGTAAGAAAAAGAAAACTCTAAAAAGCTCAACAATACATGATAATACTTTTTTTTCTTTATATCGACATGATATTATATTTGCTGGATTAAACGTGCAACATTTTGTGGATACCAACTTTATAACAGTAATAAAGATATGGATAAAGACATTACAACAGAAAATCTCAATATTACAGGTCGAATGTGGTCCGAGAATTTGATTTTGGTACCAAAATGCTACACATGTATGAATTTAGACAGCGTGTTGTTTGCTTACAGATTGAGCCATTCTTTTAAAGGAAAGTGACTCGTCAATGTATTGTCAAATTCATATGCATGGACCAACTGAGATATATCTCCAACAAGTTGTATTTTATTCTTAACGTTGTTAACTACAAGCTTTTTTTATATAAACATCATATCGTCTATCTCTTGATAGTTTTGCATTGGATATGATTTCTTTTTAATATCTAGAAGTTCTGGATCGGAAAGCTCGTACATCATTTAGAGTGAATCCTGAACTATTTTTTACTTTACTTTTCTTAGAGGAGCAAAGTCATCCCAACAGGGATATTTTGAACATGTAATCTCTTAAACCACTACTATATTATAATGTGGATTGTAAGAAAAAAAATGTTTTGCATGCTACTGGGATCAAAATGAAAGCTTGGATATGATAGTCATAAGAAGACGACAAAATTTAATTGATAACTTTTCCAAGTTTTAATTGAAATACTAATTTGGTCAAAGTTGATAGAATACTACTTATTTAGAATAGTTCTTTCACTGTTACTTGGATTGACACTTGAGAGCTTATTATAGGCTTTTGAAAATATCTGAAAAAAAGATTGCAGTCTTGCAGACGAATCTACAGGTTTTGGTAATTGACAAAATTTTGATTTGGTGAAGCACCATACGATCATTGTCTAAATATTCATTTACAAGAACTAGGATACTCTAGATGGTTACTCCCTCCGTTCCATAATATAAGATGTTCTAGAGAAAATTGATATTTCAAAATATAAGATGTTTTGATATTTTTAAGGTACTTTAACTTTATAGAGAACCGGTTGACCAATAGTATTTTAGTTTATTATTTATGATTGGTTAATTTATTTTAAATTTATACTACCAATGATGTTATCTTTTAAAAAGTTAAGTTTCTTAATTCTTGTGCTTTAGATAAAACATTCTATATTGTGGAACGGAGGGAGTATATAATTCGGCCATCATTAGTGAGATACTTAGAAAGTCTCCAATGTATTTTATTATATTTTCTAAAAAAACAGAGAATCTCTATAATACAGATAGAATTTGCTTCTAATGCATTTTCTCATTATAGCAATTTTCAAAATATAGTATAAAAAAAAAGTTGATGTTTTTTGTCCCAAATATAGAGGAAAAAAAGTAATTATAGGAATTAGTTGGAGTGGAATTGATTTTAAATACTAATCCCTCCGTATTTAAATGTATGATGTTCTAGATTTTTATTTTGTCTATAAAAACTTGATGTTTTAAGATATAATTAATGTAATTGTTTTTAAAATTAAACATAAATTAAAAAGTAAAATTATGAGTCGTTAAACTTTATTGATAAAACCAAAACTAATAATTAAAAAAGTTGATTTCTAGTTTTTTAATATATGTGCAAAATTTTAAACATCATACTTTTAAATCTAGAGGGAATATTACATAAACACAATAATAATGGGTTGGAGATGTTCTTCCATAGATCATCCCACCAAGTTAAAAAAAAAGGCACACTGTTTCGTGAATCACACGTTACTTTGTTGTTTATTACACTTCATATATGATCTTTCTTCCTCCATAAGTTACCAAACATCTTCATCCCTGAACCTCTCTCTTCCCACTTCCTAACCCAAATCATCAGCCATTCCTCGGTGATTTCACAAACTGGCCTGCGTAATGCTTCTCCATTGACTCGCACCACTCTTAGAACTGACCATTCAGCTCAACCGCTCCAGATAGAACTGCAGCTAGAGCATCTGCTGCTTTCCTTCACTACTCAGGTTTGGACCTTCATCTTCTCCATCTCTGCTTCTAAACTCTGTTTTTCTTCTTCCACATACTCCAGCTTCTTCTTTTTAGGTGTGTCCTCTGAAGCCATATCATCATATCTAGAGTATCTAATACCACTCATATCATAAGAAGATACAGTTTATTTGGTCAATTAGAGAGGCCCACTTAGTCCCATTCCCAACATAACAACCAAAGAAGTTTTTGAACACAACCCATTTGTCTATGAAATAGACAGAAGAAAAAACCACATAGATTAAATAGCAAAAGAAGCTTTTGAACACAAACCAACTTTTTCTATTAAAACTGGATATTCTGTTTTTCTTTTCTTTCTTCCTATAAGAACAAACATTATATGAATGAAGTGATGATTACCCATGAGTTTCAACTACTACCCTATTTTATTGCCAACTAACTTCAGTTGGTGCACTTGTGGTGGTCGTGGCATGAACCTCTGCCAAAGACACAGCCATAGCCATCATCATCTGCTCCTCAAAACTCTCTGGAACAATGACCATAGGTGGAGGAGGGGGAGGAAAGTTGTGGAGGAAGCTCTCTCCGTTCATGTACGAGTTTACATAGATGTTGTTGCTCCCTGTTTCTACCATCTCAGTGTTGTTATGGTAATGATTATGATGGTGGTCAATGTCATCTACCTCTTGTTCTATGTCGTAGTAACTGTCGCAGTTACCAGGAAGCATACTGTATGATGAAACGTTGACATTGTGATTGGAGGATTCTCCAACCATTTGCTGGCGTTCAGCAAGTGCAGAGATTGCACAAGCAAGCCCACCAGACGATGAAGACGGCGTTGCTGGTTCTACATAACTATGATCTTCTTCTGATACATACTGCCTAGAAGGTGCCATCTCACCACAACCTGAACTTCTCTCCCTCTCTGTTTCCTGCTTAAAACAAAGTGGAAAAGCCATAGAGAATTTGATACTTTCATTTCATGAGAGGTATAAAATTAGTTAGAGATAATTAAATAAACAAATAGTTTTTACCTGAATGGAGAGCCATATTGCTTCCATGACCATTAACTCTTCAAGGTCAACATCAACCTCATCATCCCTGAAGAGTTTCCACACAAAATCACATAATATAAAGTCCAAATATTAAATCACTCAAACTAAAGTTACATTAATGAGATTAAAAATTGTAGTTGGAGACATGGAAGCATAACAACACTTTAATCCTGTAACAGAAAGCACAATCCTAAATGAAACTCTGTTCAAAGAACTTAGTTCCCCAAAACAATACCAAGTCTAATATAATAGTGCATGTTCTCACTACATTTTCATGCTTACAACTTACTCCAATTTGCAGAACTTGACAAAGAAAAATAAAGAGCAGCCAAGTGGAAAGACAAACCTGCTTCCTCGCTGTCTAGCTGATGTGTTCTGAGATGAAGCAGTTTCTGCATCTTCCATGGGAGAATTATAAGATGTAGCTGCAAATCAAGACACACAAAAAATGAAGCCTATCAAAACCGCCTTTGTGATAACAAGATTTAACAATGTTCTGTAAGAAGAAATCAAGCTGACCTGAAGCTGAACCATATTCCATTTCACCAGTCAATGCACTTGTGCTAGAGGAACATGATTCCAAACGTTTCTGCAATTTCTCTTCATCCTCCTGCATTTCTTTCTGCCTCATTCTTATCTTGGCTTCTATAACCCGTTGCTCCTCCTGCAAAAAGGATTACATCAAACCTTTACTGAGAAAAGGTAACAGTGAAAGATCATTTCTATTCTTACAACTTGTTCAATGCCCTTCTCCTCTTTTGTCTTTACTCCACGGTACTCAACAGCATAGTTGGGTGTTTTACAAAAGGGGCACCTCATAATGTTAAGGAGGACACAAAAAGAGAAGATCCATCCAAACTAATAATAAGAGACAAGTCCACTGAATTCATGAATTCATTTTTTGAATAACTAGTAAGTTCTGGACCCTTAGGCTGTAGATAATCTAAGAGTTTTAGCCACTAGGAGTTCATTGATTGAGATTTAAGGATACTGAGTAGGCCGAGCAGAATTAGGATTCTTCATTTGCAAAAAACACTCTGCAACAAATCGCCATGACAAATCAAAATGGTGGAAACATGAAGCTAATAAGAAAAGCTGATGAGATATACTTCACCTGTACAAATGCTTTTCATGCAACATCTTGATCTATTGAGGCTAGGATAGTACTAGAAACACACACAAGAAGAAGAGTTAGATCTATAATAAGACAGACATGATTGTGTTGCTATAGAAAATACACAAACCAGAAAGCAAATGGGACATTCTTCAAGGTCATGGCAGCTTTCATCATCACCAGGGTAACAAGGAGCAAGCTTAGAGTCAAGAATCAGTTTCCTAAGCTTTTTAATGTCAACATCTTTGTTCATATACAAACCTTGTGGCTTTGTATACTTTTCTTCCACCACTTGCCTCTTCCTCCCCACTAACTTATTACCCATTTCACAAAGTTCTAACCTTTATTCACTATTCTCCTTAACTAAAATTACAAAAAAACAATTCTTTTTTTCTACAAATTACAGTCACTATCACACCAATGGAGACTAGTCTAAAAGGTACATGCTTTGAATTGAGAACCTGCACAAAAAATAAAAGAACTTTACATTAATTTCTAAGGAATTAGCAAACAATAAAAGATGAAATCGAAGAAGGAAACCTGAGAGGTTCAGAAGAAGACAAGAGACGAGATCGAGATGGGTTTTTTGAGGTAAAAGATAGGAGACACGATCAGAACTTTAACTCTGTAGAGAGAGAGAGGGAGAGAGCAAAGATGCAGTGTTTGTGTGTGTTTCGTATTATATAAAAAAACAGAGGATTAGAGAAAGTTATCTGAAAATTGTAATTTTCTTGCTTTTATTTTGTTTTTCTTTTAATATTTTGACGGAAAATCTGTATGGAGAGAGAGAGAAGGAGAAGATGATGATGGATGGTGATGAGGTGGAGAGAAGCAAAAGGGTCACAGGTTACGATGGAGTATGAGACGATGCAAAGAATCACTCTGCTTCTGTCTTTCTCTTTGACACGCATAACACGACGTCGTGTCATTCGTATTTTGACCGGAAAAAGATTAGAATATACGAAATCTTGTGAAGCCAGTTTTGTCTTAAGCACGGAGTTTGGTTTATGTCTTTTTATTATTATCATTATCCATTTCTTTAATTGTATGTTTTGTTTGTCGTATTACATAATTAAATCTAATATTCGTAGGTGTTTTACCTTCATAATAATCGAAGAAACACACAATTACACAAAGTATCTTTCGAGTTTTATTTAACAATTAGATTAGTCGGCGTTAGTGTTACGTTTGATTGAATTAAAAGTTTCTTCTTGATGACAATACTGCTTATAGTTTTTTTTTATGATATTTTATGTTGACGTATAAATTTTCTAATAATCGTTGAATCAAACCCAACTGATCACACCAAGAAAAGGCGGACATAATAACAGAAAGCTAGCTAAATAAAAATATATATATATATATATATATATGAGACGAATAAATCGTGTGTTTGGGTTGATGGAAAAAATAATTGGTTCAACTAACACAAAATTTGGCTAAGGTTGGTTAAGAGAGGGTCAACCATTGGTTTTGTTGCTATGTGCCTTCAGCTATTTGCGCATTTACACAAACCTCTTTTCATATATATAAACACAAAAAGATTAGTTCGCATAATGCTTGAGTTGGTTGTTGTGAACTACTAACATACTGGATTTTTTTGGAAAAAAAAAAAGTTTTGTCCAAAGAATATTATGGTACTGTGCTTTCTAAACATATATGAACGTATACATTAAGATAATAGTTTGTACTCTCTCCTTTTCAGTTTAATTATCATTTTAGATTTTTGCACACAGATTAAAAAAATATTTAATTTTACCTATTTTCAATATAAAAACACAATTATCAATATACTTAACCACTTTTTAACCAATAAAAAAATAGATTATCATATAAACCTAATAAATTTTATTTCAAAACTTTAAAACAACACTTATTTTGAAATGAATTTTTTCCTTTATTATGATATCTAATTCGAAACGGAGGGAGTATAAAATTTTAAAACCAAGCTTTAAAACTCCATTTGAGCACATTAACAACAGCAATACTTTGGGCTTTATGGGTCATCAAGCAACATATGTAAGCTTTAAACCCGTTAAAAGTTCAGATAAATGGGCCGTACTATGATGCATTAATGCAATTTAAATAATATAACTTCTCAAAATATAATATTCGCAAAACATAATCTCAGACGATCCACTTATACCAAGAAGAAGATTAAGGACATGATTAATCAAATAATCACAACATTAACTTAGTGTAAACGAAAGCAATATTTGATTTTGAGAAGAAAAGAAAGATTCAAAACTGTCAACAAAAAAGAAAGACTATTAACATAGAAATTCAATTTAATGACTTCAAGTTTCTGACCATAGCTTATAAAACTCTTCCATGGCAGGCATCTCCCTGAAAAATCTATCAAACTCGGTCGTCGTTGTATCTCCACCTCCTCCTCCTCCGCCATAGAGTCGTCTAGTATCTTGGCCACTTTTACTACCTCCATCGTAACGATGACCGTCGGAAGCCAAGGAAGACTCGAAAGGACCGGCGGCAACGATGGCATCTTTACCAGTGAGTTCTTGAACAACATTCTTGAAGCTACCTGCATCTGTCTCAACGTACTGTGTGTTAATGAACACAACTTTCATTGGCTCCGATCTCACTTTCCCTCTTCCAGACATTATTTAACTAATTAAACTAAAAGAAAACAAAATTTGAGAGTTTAGTGTACTATGAAGATTATGATGAATGATCTTTTAGAATGCAGTTTTAGAGCTCTCCAAGATGTTTGTGATTTGATATGCCTACTTGTGTGTGTATATATACAGAGCATATGATATATCTTTTGTGGGGCACTGAAGTGGGTCAATTTTCACATTATTTTCTTGATAATTTTATTATACGGTCCTACGTGAAACATACATGACGACCTAGCTTTTTATTTTTGCTGACGCCATGCTATATGTCATTTTAGTAGTGGTCGTTGGTTTCACTAATTATATATTGTTCTATAATTCTAGAAATGCTTGCCTGTGAAGGTTCTTGTTTGGACATTTAAATTTATTCGACTGTTATTTGCTAATGAAATGAGTACTACATTTCTCTCCAAAATACATAAACTAATCTATTGTGAGAAGTAGAAACTAAACTAAAGTTTTTATACAAGCATTATACTCTTGCTGATTACAATCATAAACACATGGTTTTCGATTATGCGAAGATACGAACTCTTTTTATAGTTGAGACATGTTGACCGTTAACATAATGTCCAGCAGCCTTCACGGACCAAATATTAATCTGTCATATTACTGTTACTATCTAAGTATCTAACAATATTGAATTTACCAAAGAAAACATTTTAACATTTTTATCATCGCGGTCAAAGCACACCTTCTTTGATGAAATCCCATCACATCAAGACATCAATTTAAATGCAGCCTATGAAAATACATAGAAGGTTTAGAAAGTGTTTGCACGTGTGTAGAATTTGCACGTCCCAAACACTATTTTGCTAAACAAGATAAAATCGTCTTTGATAATTATGCTTCTAGAAAAATTAGTTATGTGTCTCAATGATTATAATTTCTTTCTTCTTCTTGTTTTGTCAATGTATACCTTCTCTATAGTTTCTTTATAGTTTTTACTATCCATGTTTTCTGTTTCGGAGAAAGAAAATTAGTATATGAAACATAACATTGAGAGGTAAATATTACCACTAAAATATAATTTTACTGGATCTAAAATAAACACAAACTATCTCGAGTTTATCAATTCATAACTTCATAGACAGGTATAGAGAGTTAACCATATTTTCTAGAGATACTTTTGCAATAGAGGTTAGAAATTCCACAATGATTCAAGAAGTCAAGGTCCAAGGATAGTTACACACGATGTTTCATGGAGAGCTTCCAGGTGGACCCATCCTCCCTCCATTTATTGCCTTTTGTTTTGTTGACTCATATTCATTCATTCCACAAATTATTTTTCACAAATTGTGAGTACTTTGAAATGTGTGTACGGTCGTACCTACGCGATGTCTCTAGACTCTAACTATGTCTAACTATGTATAACCATGCAAAAACTAATTGACATATAATTATTCATTTTCTCATTTTTTTTCTTTAATTAAAAGTCACTGGGTGGATATATTTGGGATCAAATTAAGGCACTAATCAATCAGTTATTTATAATTATAGTAATAAACAAATTCATTATTATTCAGGTTTGATATATAAAAACCACACATGAACATACAAAAGCAAAGTCAAGATTGGCTATAAGAGTTCAGAGCAAGATTTTGACTGGAAATCTTGACTCAGAACCTGCATATTTTCTTCTTTTTTATGTGATCACCTTTTACAAATTATTGAATTATTTAATAATGGTGATAAAATATTACTAATCTCAATTATTTAATAATGGTGATAACAAAATAAAAAACAATATAAACACTTATTATTATACATTAGAAACTATATTATAATTTAGTTATTCCTATAAATCTTACTTCGCATATAAATAACATTTAACACATTATATATACAATATTTTCACTTTACACTTTTGCTACTTTATTTCCATTTCATCCCTAAAAATAAAACGAGTCTCACACAGCACTATCATGTCCTAATATATATTTATGTTAGAACATATTTTCTAATATATATTTTCAAAAATTATGTATGTGAAATAAAATAAAACAACAAAATTAAGTATTTTTTTGTTATCTATAAAATAACTATGTAATTTCTCTTCAATTTTTAATGGTTACTATAGTTTCATTTTTATCAGACTCCGACGAATGGATTTCCACAGACGATGACGCGTCATATTATTCATAAACAAAATCCAAACTTACAAAAAAACATATCCAAACATATCTATTGAAACACAAACAACAAATATTAGCTTAAATTAAAGTTATTTTCAAATTGATAAATCGTTTAGTATAAATATAAATACTATAAATAAATAATTATATCAAGTTTTGACCTCTGATATAGAAACTATATTATAATTTCGTTATTCCTATAAACCTTACTTCACATATAAATAACATTTAACATATTATATATATAATATTTTTACTTCGTTGTCAAAAAAAAAAATATAATATTTTCACTTTACACTCTTGCTACATTCTTTCAATTTCCTCATTATTTGATATTATTAGAATAACCCACTAAACCAACAACCGAAAAAAACACAGATAAACATCAATGATCCTCAGTCCCGCGCTTGTGCGGAGGGTATGCAACTAGTGTTTGTTAAAAGTACTCTTGCTTGTGCAAAACAAGAGAAACAGAGTTAGAGAATAAGATACACAAAACCAAAGTCAGAATCATCACATCGTGAGTGTTTTTGCTTTATTTTATCTACTTACATGTAAACCAATAACGAGTGGGCATAGCTAATATAAAGTTCTTTTCATAGAATCAAGTTCGATAATTGATTTCAGAACCCTTAATTGGTAATGTAAATTAGCTTAACAACCGTCAAATAAAACAAGTCTCATTTTAAAAATTTGAGAACAATCAACGCAGCAATATAAGGACAGAGCCTTTATGATCTTCAAATTGATTAGAAACACACAAAGCAAGGTTTGATAGCAGACATTAAAATCCACATCCCAAATAAAAAAAACAAAGAAAGACAGAACAACAAAAAAAGAAGAGAAAATAAGGCAAAGAGATAGAAGATGATGACTGAAGGTTCAACTTGCTAGGGATGCGATGAATGAATAAAAGTTCAGACCCCTAGAAACTAGCAGTTCAGTCAAATAGACTTTGTTACTGCTGTTACTCGGCTGGTTTTGGAGCTGACTCTTCCTTGATCTCCTCATCCGCAGCATCATCCTAATAAACATCATCCACCAAACACAGACCTTTAGCCCATGAAAAAATTGTGATAATAGAAGAAAACTATCGAAAAATTAGATTTGGATTCATACCTGCATGTCGGATGTCCAGAGAGTGAGATTGTCACGGAGAAGCTGCATGATCAAGGTGCTGTCCTTGTATGACTCTTCACCTAGAGTGTCCAACTCCGCTATGGCATCATCAAAGGCCTTCATGATAACAATACAACAACCACACAAATAAGTAAAAAAAAACACAGTCGAAATCATGTATTGCGAAGTGTTTAGATGAGGAAAATTCAAAGATAACACATCAAAGTTGCGTGGATATATCATGATGAGATATTGAGCAAGGCAAGTGCTTATTCAAGGATGGTCATACTGTAAAAGTTGATAGATTATTGGATTCATGATAACAATACAACAGCGACAACAAGTAAACAGTGTTAAAGTCATGTCTTATGGATGAGGAAAAACTCAAGATAATACAACAAAATTGAGTTGATCTATGATGATGAGGCTCCTATGATATTTGACCAATGGTGATACTTGATAAGATTAGTGGATTTAATTCAAGAAATTGCTAGGCATTAATTAACCATTTCATGCCTAATTTTGACGCCTAAACCGATCCTTTTTAGAAAAATAGTTTCAGGAAAATCATTTCATAAAACCATTTTACAAAAACTGTTCTCCTGTGATTGATTTGCTTCTCTTGTGGTCTCATTTAAGCCTTAAATCAGCCTCCTAGACCGATGTTTAGAACAATGCAAGTAGTTACCTGTTTAGCAAGGCTGCAGGCACGATCAGGAGAGTTCAAGATCTCATAGTAAAACACAGAGAAATTCAACGCCAGACCTAGACGAATCGGATGAGTAGGAGCCAGCTCCTCATTCGCAATATCCTGCAAAAAAACAAATACAGTATAACCTCTTTAAATTAATAATCTATAAATTAATATATACTAAAAAATCTCTATAAAATAATATAATTTTATAATCTCAAATTGAATTTTTGATTCAATTATGTAGACAAATTAATAACTCTATAAATTAATAAAAAAAAATTGGTTCAATTAGTATATCAACAAATTAATAATCTCTAGTCACAAATTAAAACTATATAACTTTGGTGTAAGAAATATGTAGTCACAAATAAAAACACTAAAAAAATTAACTTCACAAACCAAATCAATTCTACACAACACAAAACCAAATCTAATCCACACACTCATCACATTCTCAGATAGGCCTGGGCGTTTTTAACTCAACCCAAAGTACCAACCTTAATTCGAACCGAAAAACCGAAATCGAATCCTTTACAAAAATATCTGAACGGGACTTATAAACTTACTACTTTGAACTTTGGTTATAACCCGAACCGAACCGAAATCCGAAGATATCTGAAACTAGTTAAACATGTTAATGTTTTTATATATGTTAAGGTGATTGATTCAGATATTTTCGAGTATTCAAAATATTTTTTATATTTTTTTATTTGTTATTTTGAATAATTTTTAGTTAATTTAGATAATTTAACAAATTTTTAATTAGATTTGTAAATAATTTATATATTTTGAAAAAAATTATCAATTTTTGAGGTTTTAAAAAAATTGTTTTAGATCATTTTAAATATTGGTTAGAACCCGGAAGGAACGGAATTCGATCTTCTGATAATTAGTAAAACCGATTGGTACTTATGAACATAACACCAAAAGTCCGAATCATCCGGACCGATACCGAATGGACCACCGAACGCCCGACCTATTCTCAGATCTAAGAGAGATTATTCCTTACCTGAGCAGCCTTATAAGCAGATAAGGTATTCTCAGCAGCATCTTTCCTCTCCTGACCAGTCTTAAACTCAGCCAAATACCTATGATAATCCCCTTTCATCTTCAAATAAAACACCTTCGAGTCCCCACTCCCAGCGGCGGGCACCAGCCTCGCGTCGAGAAGCTTCAGTATCCCTTCGCAGATCCCCGTCAGCTCCGTCTCGATCTTGGATCTGTAATCGCGGATCGCCGCCACGTGGTCGTCGTTGCCGCGGCTCTCCTCCTTCTGCTCGATCGAGGAGATGATGCGCCACGAGGCGCGCCGTGCGCCGATCACGTTCTTGTAGGCCACGGAGAGGAGGTTGCGCTCCTCGACGGTGAGTTCGTCGCCGTCGACGGAGGCGGAGACTTTCTCCATGAACTCGACCATCTCCTCGTAACGCTCGGCCTGCTCCGCGAGCTTGGCCATGTACACGAACTCCTCACGCGCTGATACCATTTTGTTTTGGAGAGAAACGAATCGAATCGGTTTGATTAGATTTTTTTTTTTAGGTCAAATGGGAGAGAGAGGGTTTGTTTTTAATGAGGGAGGAACGCGTTTTAGAGGAGACGAGTGAATGTTGGAAGCAGTGTTGATTATGGGCCGTTGGGTTTGTTTGCTTTTTATAATAGGGGAAAAGTATTTGCTGGCCTGTTTTTGTTTTCTTTTTTTTTTTAATTAAAGAAAATATATATAATCTTCAGATTTTTTAACCCTTTTTAAGATTTTTTAATTCATTTCTGTATTTAAAATACTATTATTAATAATATAATATTTCTTAATTTTAGATACATATTTTCATTTTTTCTCTTATATTTAGAGCATTAATAATATTATTTATCTCTAGAGGTTCTTTTAAAGCATTCAAAAGTTTATTTATTTTAGAGAAAAAATAAGTTTATTTATTTTTATTCGCTGGCCTGTTTTAATTATGTTTTTTTTGATAAATAAAATATATATAATCTTAATTTTTAATCCATTTTTCACTTTTTTTATTCATTTCTGTATTTCAAAATTATTTTTATTTGCTGGCCTGTTTTTATTTGATAAAATTTTAATTTCTTAATTTAAGATACATATTTCACTTTTTATCTTATATTTAGAGACATAAATAATTTTATTTATATGTTGAGACTATTTTAAGCATTCAAAAAGTTTATTTATTTTAGAGAAAAATAAGTTTCTTATTATTTTATAGACAAAAATAAGTTCCTTTTTATTTTAGAGAAAAACTTAAATAAATAAATGGTGATGTGATTACTATTTAAGAATTGTTTATTTAGCAAATAAATGGTAATGAGATTTACTACTATTAGTATATGAAAAACAAATCCTCCCAACACAGATGAATTGGATATGCTAATCTAAACACTAGTTTTCAAGAGTTAAAAATAGTATTAGCTAATCGGCCATTTAAAAATGGAGCTATTAGATTGATAGAAATAGTACAATAATGGAGGCAAGTTGGGTTAGCAAAAATGGAGACAGCTCAGAGGGCACACATGTGTTGTGAGCATGTCAGGGGATCCAAAGGACTATTTCTTCTCCAACTTGTTTACTTATAATAATATTATGACTAGTACTAAAATGTTATTTAGAGAAACTAACACTTCGGTTATGTGTGAATATTTATTCTCTATTCTCCGAATCATATAAACGCTATTATAGGCGATGTCTACGAGATTTGTTTGATATCTTGTTACTAATTGTATATGATGTTGTATTTGACCTGGACTGTTTATTTGATAATCGAAATATAAGTCAACCGTGTCTCTATTGATTAGTTTAACTTTACACGGAAACTTTTTTGGGGTGGGATGATTACTAGAGAATAAGTTGTGTCTTTGCCCTTTACGGTTTTGTTTACTATATTCATCCAGCACTTATTCTGATCCATGATTATGTCTTTTCATATCTTACTTCTTTGGTAGATGGTTTCCTAATGGAACATGATATTAGTAGCTCTGGCCAATTGAACAGTAGTTATCTGGTAGTATATGCATGTTTCATGTCTCGGAAGAAGCTAGGCATGCCATTTGATACTTGTTAGTGTTTAGTTAGTCTCTCGTAAGGTTTGTCTTGCACGTTAAAGATAATACATAATGAACAAGTAAATGCCAGGCTCCCAATACTTGAACATGATCGTGGGATACATGTTTTCTAAACATGTAATTTTGTTTGCGGGCTAATGTCGAACGGCTCATCTCGTGGATTTACCAACGTCCACAAATGTAATGTTTTCGACATGCAGTATCGACTCCGAATAAACCTTTTGCTAAACGTAAGACATAAAAAAATTCAAACAATAAGAATACATGTATGCTTGTTCTCGTTTTATTAGTAATTTGTCATAAGATTCCATAATGTATTAGGAAAACTAATCAGAATTAACTAGGAACATAGCTTTTCAGATAAAATTAATGTAAGAGAATGGGGAAAGCTAGCAAAGACATCTGGCCTTAGCCTCGTAGCTAGTTATTAGTTTATTACAGTCCACCAGGACCACCAACGACCAAGAGCCAAATGTAGAATAAGTTATATTTGAAAGGGTCAAGTATAAACTTCATGAAAACTGTTACTTTCAGTGGGACAAAATAATAAATTAACACAATTTGTTTATAGCGTGAGAAACGCTTTCGGCTCCACAGCCTCCACCACCAATAATTTTGTTTTCCATTGTTAATTCTTATAAGAAATTTTTAAATTTTACTTGATGAGATTCATGAGGCCTTTTTTTTGTAGTTAATGATGCATGTGATCTATGAGCTTATCTTGCAAGTTGTAATCATCATATATACGAATAAGGTTAAAATTCACGAATTTAAGATGACAACAAAAACAGTTTTTATACAATAAGAACCACATGAAAATTTCTTATCTGCAAACCATTTCACAAAACCCACAATCAAACACTTTGAAACACTAATAAAATAGTAATCTCATAAAAGCATAATTAATTAATCACGTAATAAATAATCACATAAGTATATGTATAAACTGTGTTTTCTATCAATTACACAACTCAAAAGAAACAAACAAAAACAACAAACAGAGAAGAATTCTTCAATGTAAAAAACATCAGTAGGAGTTAAGAAGACTCCAAACAGTAAGCTCAACCTGTTCCCATGATTCAGCTGTCCGAAGCTCGTCCCATATACTAAACATTGCACCCAACACATTCTCTTCATGTAGTATACAATAACACCTTGCAAACCAAATCACAGTTTAGACATAACAAGACACACAAGAAAAAAATTCAGTGCTAATCTCATTTTAAAACTTACATTGTGCGGTAGGAAGGAGAGAATACTTTCTTCCTCGTACTGTCTGCTGTTTCATTCTTACTTCTGATTAAAGGAAGGCCGTAACTTTCTAGAAGCTTCTTGAAAAGTTCAGTGTCTCCTCTAATCACGTCCAAGTATATTGGTATCAAGTCGTAGATTGGATCTCCTGCAAATTTTCTCACTCTTTCAGTAGACATTCTCCAAATTTGGAGTTTGATACTATTGAGTAAAACGTACCTATGGATAGATCGCTGAAGTCAAGAATATGACTGGGACGCCATGAGTTGTGTTGACCATCATCGTCTGCGTATGGTTCCATGTGAATGTTGTCATCCATGACGTCCGAGTGTATCCAGGTACATGGCTTGACTTTGTCACCAACATCTGTGTCCTGTGATCACAGTAAAAGGTTATTTTAATTTTCAAAAACTTTAGCCAATTGTAAAGAGGTATAAAGATAAGAGAAGTAACCTTGTAAACATGGAGCAAATCTACAAAGAATTCATCAGGAATGTATTCGTCTATCTTGTTCATCAGAGCCCGAGGAATAGGATTTCCCCTGCAATGTTTGAGCGAAACAATCACCAACAGTGAGTTTTATTTAAAGCAAAAGCAAATGGAAACAGAGACACAAGAAGAAGAGTACCAGTTTTCCAGACGACTAGTGACGTCCTTCTTCTTTTGGCAGAGAGCATCAACAAAAACTTTCCATTCTGGTGGAATCTTCAACTCCTCATGAACATCATTTGCATTCAATAACTCAGGACGTGTGACTGGTGGATATGGCAGTTGATGAAGGTTGCGTAGTTGTTGACCCAAAAAGGTAGCCAAGTTCTGAGCGTCGTTCCACGTCAGGTCATCTCTTCTGCAACAACAACAACAACAACAACAACAGCTTCAAATTAGTGATCATGCAATCTCATCTAAAGGTGAGTCCAGCATCGATGAGCACTCACAGCTGTGCAAATATCTTCCCTTTGCATCTTTGTGTTATAATATAGGGCCAGACATGTGAACTCAATGAACCGAAAGAATCAGGTCCTGGCTTCCCCTGGTTTCTCTGCTGAAGTAGCGTTTTGTTCCAAATACCAAATGGGAACTCACTTTTCAACATTGACGCATCAAAGTCGAGATTGGAGCTAGTGAAAATGTCCGGGATTCTCTTGCCATCCCAAGGAACAACTTTGTAAGATCCTTTTTCGAAATAAAGAATCCCGCTTGCTAGAACCTCAGGGATATGACTCTTCAAAGGCGAATCAGCCCTGCCAAGAATGTCATAAAACTCAAGCTGCAACAAAAAAAGTAAAGAGTTACAACCGTTACAGATGCTCAAGAGATGCTAAAATTATTGTGATAAAGATTACTCGCCTCGGTGCCAAGACAGTACATAGATTGTTCCAGCCCTCCTTCAACAAACAGTTTTACCGCATAGTCGGAAAACAGATAAACCTAGCAGAAAATAATAAGAGAAGTAAGAACAAATAGGTGAGAATGTTTTCTAAGAGAGATAGTTAACTCACAGGATTGCTGCCAGTTCCAACGGGAAGCTTTTCATCTTCGGTAACATACGGCAAGTTGTGGAAAGTACATACTTCCTCTAGACATAGCAACCATTTCTCAGCATTTAAAGCAATGCATGCTCCCTAAAGAAGATGATACAAAGAATTGATGATACAGAGAAATTTAGAAAGCTATAAACTTAATCTCCATTTAAGTAGACATTACCTTCCATATCAGTGTTCTCAACTCTGGCTTCAGAACCCAAAGCTTGGATAGCCAGCCCCTCATTTCTCGTTGACCAACAGAGTTCCCCATCGACCATGGGAAATTGTAATGGTCTCTTTCTTTATCAAGAAACTTAGACAGGAAATCAATATCGTAAGAGAATCCATTCTTCCACATATGGTATCTTTTTGATCCTCCATTAGCATCCTCTTCGTTGTTTTCAGTCTCTCCCTCTCCATTCATCCGTACCCTCTTCTCTTTCCTGCTAAGGTCAGAATAGCTCAAACTACTGTCGTCCTCATCGTCTGTTTCTTCTTCCATCTCTTGAGAATCTCCATCATCAAGAGCAAGAAGCCCAGCACGACACACGCCTTTGTGCTGGTAACCAGGCGCCATATCCAAACACACGAACCCAAAGTTTTCTTTGTTTACAAAATTCTGGGTAACAGCCACTGTTGGTTCAAGATTGAGGATACAGTGCCACCAACCACTTGGAACATAAATCGTTTCACCAGGTAGTAGAGTGCACTCAATGGGTTTGTCTTCGTCCGCGAGGAGAGGATAATAGTCTAGCCACCACTGTGCATAGATTGAAAACTATTAGCAGGATACAGTAAAGAAGAAACGAGATGTCAATGCTTGAACAGTTCAACAATATACCTGCAGAGATGAGGGGGTGTCGATGCTGACATCACCATCATCTTCATTTACATGGACTGTAACACCTAGAGGCACTTTTCCAGGGGGATACAACGCCCACCTATTTTAAACACAATGACCTCAAAATACTTAGAATTAAATATCATATAGTTATATTTTTGTGTTCAATGTCCAACAAAGTGAGCTCAAGGAATGCAAGGACTAGCGAGCTAGATCACAGTTCCTTAGCCCTATAACATGAAAACTATAGTAGCTATTATCCTTGTAAGTTGAAATGAGGAAACTTACAAAATGAATAACTAAAGGAATAATAGAACTAACTTCATTTAACAGGCTTAGAAAGCTCCTATTTAATTCTACTTTGTGGTCCTAAATTGTACGTGAGGCTCTAATATATATGTTACTAATTACTAACAATTATAAAATAAACTACTTGTTCAAGCAAAAAAATATGTCTACCTTTTCCGACCGCAAAGTAGGGTGTTCCACGCGCTGGTAAGAGCTGGATCAACATGCCAAGATGCACCAGACCTCTCGGGACCAACTATAAGCCATCTGTATGGCGGACGATTTTCTTTGTCCAAGATCTCAAACCAATCTTCTTGAAACAAATGAGGCACACTATAGTCTTTCAATAATTCAGGAGCAGCTTCTGCAAACTACATGAAACGTTGAATCCTTAAGTATTTTTCACTCTAAAACTGATGTTAAGAAAGCTTTATATAAATGTACCCTGTCATCGAAAACGTAAAGAGGATCTTCATCCCTCTGGAGTTTCATATACGAGATGTAATCCTTGAACTTCATGGAAATTTTGTTGGGACTCCTCTGAGATATTCTAAATGGGACTTCACCATATTTCTCTGATAATTGGTCGATTGTCCATGTCTTACTGGCAGGCCAAGAATCAGCAAGGCCAGAGAGCAAAACCTAAACCATAGACAGGGACAACATTACAAAAACTCGCATATCTGAAAATGTGTAACAGCGCACAATCTTGTGTTTTCAGCACACCAAGATACAGATAAAAGACTAGATCATACAGGTTTCTTGGCGTCGTATTCTTTGGAAAACTCATCCAAAGAGATATCACTCCTACGTTCCACATTCCCGTCATCAAAAGCGAACCCGTCAAGAGATGTATTACACCTATAGAATCTTTTATACAAATACATCGAATGGAATCCTGTACATAAGCATAGTCCATCATTAAAACAACAACCAGAGAACAAACATAATCATATCACAAATGAACATCCCGAAGAAGAAAAAAACAAAACAAATGAATCAACAAAATGTTACCATCAAACTGCAAAGGCTTTCTGTATGCATTTTCTTGAGTAACTCCTTCTCTACATAAGCAGAGAACCAATCAACCATTACAAATTCAAATAAGCAGACATAGAGTGTGACTCTGATAACTCTCAACATTAGCCAAAAGAGTAACATATCTAATGACAATTCTAAGGCTTTTATAAATCGCTAGAAGTTAGTTAGGCCTTTTATATGGGATTATTGGTTAGGTGGACGCCTAAACCGATTTTTAGAATGTTCAAACTAATAGATCCCAAATGGATCCTACTAATTCCTCAATTCAAATGTTTCATCGAACACTTAAAACTTACATATGCAATGTAGTATTTTTCCAGGAGCCTTTGTACTCAAAAGGACCCTTCGCTCTTCTAAGGCACAAGCTCATCCATAGAGGCTCTTCGTTACATAAAATATACATCACACTACACATCAAAACATTCAAATTCATCAACCTTAGCCTTCAAATTTTCCGATACTAAAATCGATTAATAGTCAATCTAAGATATCACCTGCTGACGCAAGCGAGGTGAGCGATGTCTCGAGGATCAAGGTAATCGAGGAGAACGCATATGGTTTCATCGGGGAGGACGCTGAGATTACCGAGCGCCTCTGGTCTCCGATCTCTCGGTACAAACGACGTCGTTGCGTCCATTTTACCCGGTGGCGCGTGGTGTGATTCGAGTCTGGTCACCGAGTGCTGCGCGGGGTTTCCAACGTGGATAATATGCCTTTCGCACGTTTGTTACGACTTACGCGTTATTGTTATTGATACGCCGTCGTTTTTGACAAACGGGATCTGGAAAGTGTATTATCGCGTTTGGCTTACGCGAAGTCGTTTTTTTTCACGAAAAATGGCACGTAGTCTTTAGTTAATGGGCTATATGAAGCTCATTTTTAAAAAGGAATAATACTACAAAATGGGCTTTGTTTCTATATGATGTTTTGGTTTAGGATACAGAATTTACATTTACATTTCTTTAAAAGTATTTTTAAAGATATAATTTGATAATCATTCAATCAATTTAAAAATAGATTGTAAAATTTTATTGTTTTAATAAAATTAAAATTAATCTAAAACCTTAAAATATGCTTTAAACTTTTAAAATTAGTTATATTTTGAAACAATACGTATAAAAATAATACATTTCTGTATTTATCTCATTTATTTGTACATAAAGCTGAGCAACAATATAATATTCCAAAATAATATTCCGAAAACACAATGAGAGAAAAATGTTCCCATTACCCATTTTCAGCAATGAAAAGGTCACTGTGCAGGAGCCACCAATACAAAGTGATCAATCAATAGATGAATGCATTTGACAAAAAAAAATGATGAATACATAAATTCTCACAGATTCTTTACAAGTTTAAAACAACCCTCAAAGATGAAAAAAAAAAACGTTACAGTTGTTACAAATATTATGTACATAAATGAAAAAGATTTTATACTATATAAGTTGGGAAAGTTAATATTACTCCACATCCTATATATCATCCATCACCAGCTGTCTTTCTCTTCTTTGTTCTTTATAACATCTGCTTGTGACAAAGCTAGAAACAACAGAAATGGAACCACATGCTGTTCCTCCTTCAAGGAATCGACATGCAGTTTGCATACCATATCCAGCACAAGGCCACATCAACCCCATGCTGAAAGTGGCCAAGCTTCTCCACGCCAGAGGCTTCCACGTCACCTACGTCAACACCGAGTACAACCACCGCCGCATCCTCCGCTCACGTGGCCCTCACGCTCTCGACGGTCTCCCCTCCTTTCGCTTCGAGACTATCCCCGATGGGCTTCCTTGGACCGACTTGGACGATAAGCAGGACATGCTTAAGCTTATAGACTCCACCATGAACAACTGTTTATCTCCTTTCAAAGATTTGCTCACCCGGTTAAACTCCGGTTCTGATGTACCGCCGGTTAGCTGTATTGTCTCTGACGCTTCCATGAGTTTTACTATTGACGCGGCAGAGGAGCTTGAGATTCCGGTGGTTATGCTTTGGACGAATAGCGCCACTACACTCATGTTGTATCTTCACTATCAAAAACTCATCGAGAAAGGGATCATTCCTGTAAAAGGTACCATGCATCTCGACTTGGTTTACATCATATTTGTTTTGAAAATTTTCTTAGGACATCTCTAGCTCATGCCTAATTTTCCTCAAAAAACATTTTCTCATTAAACTTTATTTATTTTATTTTTAGATAAATTTCAAATTTTAAATTTAATATAGGGATTGATTAAAAAAGGGTTGTAAAAATTGAGGACATTTAAAAAAAAAAACTAATCACAATCATATTTTAATTTCTTTTTTAAAGTAGACTAAATGAATATATATTAATTCTGAAAAATAAAACTTTACATTTTTTGTTTAGTACTGAGTATTTTGAAAATAAATCTACGGTTAAAAAAAATACAATTTAAATATCTACTGCTAAATTGTGAATCAAATGTGTAAAGCTATAAGACCAACCAATCATATCCATAATATTTCATTTTTTGTTAATACATAAAATCGTTATTTTAATAATTAATAATATAAAAGTACTTATATACTAGAATTCATACTATTTTTTTATGTATCAAATAAAAAATGTAACAATCACTATACAAAAATGCGCCAATCAATATTGATAGTTAAGCTAAAATTTATTATATATGTTTTATGTGATATAATATAAATTTATATAGTAAATATTGAAATTCATGAATATCGTATACAAGTTTTTTATAAAATTAAAAGAAATGCAGTTTATATGTAACTTCTTATAAATAAAAATAGTATTAGTAAGAAAAATACATTTAAAATGATCTAAAACGCATGCAAAATTTTTACTAGATGAGAGTGATATGAAGACGGAGATAGACTGGATACCATCGATAAACACCATACAGCTAAAAGACTTTCCAGACTTCATCATCGAGACAGATCATCAACACCTCATGCTCAACTTCATCACCCACGTCACCCAATCATCCAAACGCGCTTCCGCTATAATCATCAACACATTCGAAAACCTCGAACACGACGTCGTCTCATCTCTCCAATCAATTCTCCACCCACGTATCTACCCAATCGGACCGTTACCGATCCTCGAAAACCGGGCAATTAAAAAAGACAGCGAGATCGGACGGTTGAGATTAAATCTATTCGAAGAGGAAACCGAATCTTTAATAAATTGGCTCGATACAAAGGGGAGGAAGCGTGTGGTTTACGTTAACTTCGGGAGCATAACGGTTTTAACGAGGGAACAGGTTCTAGAGTTCGCGCGGGGGTTAGCGATGAGCGGGAAGGAGTTTCTCTGGGTGGTGAGATCGGATCTCCCGGCGGAGTTTCTCTCCGAGACGGTGGATCGTGGGAAGGTTGTTACGGGGTGGTGTTGTCAGGAGGAGGTGATTTCGCATCCTGCGATCGGAGCGTTTTTGACTCACTGTGGATGGAATTCGACTGTGGAGAGTGTGGTCTCCGGTGTTCCGATGATCTGTTGGCCGTTTTTCGCGGATCAGTTGACGAATATGAGGTTTTGTTGCGGGGAGTGGGGGTTGGGGGTGGAGATTGGGGGGGAGGTGAGGAGGGAGAGGGTGGAGGCGGTGGTTAGGGAGGTTATGGATGGAGTTGAGGTGAGGGAGAATGTTGAGGAGTGGCGGTGGGTGGCGGAAGAAGCTTCGGTGTCACCGTGTGGTTCGTCGTTTGTTAATTTCGAGACGGTGGTTAATGAAGTGCTTATGGGTGACGGTTAGAGCGCAAATTTTTTTGTTTATATGTCTCTCACTGTCATCTGAGCTGGTTTGAATGAAAATAAACTCAGATTTTCTAAATAAAATCACAGTTCAAAAATATACCTGCAATGATGTATACTTTTTTTTTCTTTGTTTCTCACTTTGTTATATATATAGGCAGACCCTGAGATTTAAGAGGCTATAGGCAATTTAGAAAATATTTGAACTATTTTTTTTATATATATTTAGGACCTAATATTTTTGTTTGTCTATGTAAATTATTTTCAAAAACTTTAGTGGCATGAAATGAATGTTTTGGTAGATTTGAGTTAGTTTTTTGGCTCAGGACTGGCTCCGAAAACTTCTAAACAAGTGTGGGGTCAAGAGATAGAAGAAATCATGAATATGATTATATGAATGATATAGGATAACGTTGAATTTGTTTTTGGTGTAGGATAACGTTGAAATTATTAGAATAAAAAAAAATGAGTAAGAAGAATATGTGAACTCAGTCTAGATTAGGTCAGAAAGAAATATTTTAAGTAGAGAAAAAGACATGACAGGATTATTATAAAGAGATAGAGCCATCTTTAAAGTTTTGAAGTAAGAACTAAGAACACTTTTAACCCATGTTGTTTAGGAAGTTGCTTAAAAGGAGAGAGGTGCTTAATTTAAAGAGAGAGTGTAAAAAATGCTTAATTAAACATTTTTCACATTCTCTCTCTTTAAATTAAATATCCCTCTCCTCCTAAGCAACTCTTTAAACAATCTCCATTAGACATGCTCTAAGAACAACCTTAATGGTGAAAGACTCACAAAGTTTGTTAAAAAAATTAATTTATTAAAATTTTGATTATAAAATAGTTTAAACTAATCATTAGCTGACATTTGTCATTTGAGATTTTTTAACTTCCGCAAAAGTTTCTTCCCGTACATACCATCTCTTCCCTCTCTTCTACTTTTTCATTTTATTCTATTTGTGTATTGGTTAAAGACTCATTGAGAGACTCCCACTAATCATGCTCTAAGAATGTGAAGTCTGTACAAATTGGGAAAAGATTAATCGTTTTTTTTTTCTATAGAATAAATATGAAAGTGTGTGTAGAGATCTTGTCATTGCATGGTATCTGCACTCGAATGGCGACCAAATTGACAGATGATGGAGGAGAGACACGTATACCAATGCAGTGAATACTAGACATCTCATATCACATGCATCCTCTAGTCACCCTTCTCACCAGTATCAGTCACTCTCCTTTTCTTTTCTATTTCTTCACATATTTGGTTTAATTCCAAATCCCTATTTATTTTTACATAGATAGAGTGCACAAATATTTATTTAGTTGTGAAGTTTGAGACAACACTGTCGATCGGCTTAGGTACATGAATAAAATCTCATTCATTTTCAACTCATAAAGAAATCTCGGCTACCGCGAGCTACCCAAGAGTTTTGCTTTTTCTTCATGTGTGTTTTGTTGTTTTGGTGAGAGACTATAGATTACCTAAGAGTTTCAAGAAATAAAAAACGAACACTACTAATGGTTACCGTCTATGTATATATGTTCATAACCGAGATTCCTAGAGACTGAGTATCCATCATTGTTATGCATGTATTCTGTTTTTTTTTTTTGGTAAACTATTCTGTTATTAGAAGACGATCATATACCGTCTATGTATATATATGTTCATAACGGAGATTAGCTTTATTTGGATTCAGTTGTGTATATATGGACATGGCAAAAGCAAAGATATGAATTGTCTGCATAACGAAAACAAGCATGAGAAGCATCTGGGGTGGTGGCGCAGTTGGCTAGCGCGTAGGTCTCATAGCTACTGAGTGATCCTGAGGTCGAGAGTTCGAGCCTCTCTCACCCCAATTTTTCGTTATACCAAACCATTAACCATATGTTTTGAAACGATCCTGTTTGAAAAAAAAAGAGATCCTTTTATCAGAAAGCCAGACCATGAGATCAGAGATTTCGTATTATACAACAGGCCTAATCATCATAGTTTTAAAATCCATATATAACATTTAAGCTTGGGCCTCTGTTGAGCCCACTAGATTCGATCGTTTTTTCGTCTTCATAAATGACAAAGTGGGTCATCAGTCATGTCGTGGTCATGAATGTCGTCACGAAGCAACTATTCGAGAGAGGATAAGTTATAGAAAAAGGATTAAAGCATGTGGATATTGGTATACATATCATCACTTAAGAACTACTCCACGATATGGTTTATATGGCTAATCAGTCATTTATTTGTCACTTCAATTCTCTCACATGTTCCATTTCATTCGTACAAACCCGTCCCTACAATATATACATTTATTTATAAGAATGCCATCACACCAATATCGTCTCAAAGTTAAGTCGCCGATATTCTTACACACAACCTGTTTTTTTTTTTCGATTCAATCGTTTTAAGATGTTTGAACTTGAGTCATATAATCATCGTTGAGTATTGAACAAAATAATTAATGATTGGCTTGTGTAGATTAGAAAAGGGTTATGATACATAGTGATCCACATGGAAATCTCATGTGTGCACATGAGGAACTTAAGAGACTACGGCAATGCGTTTTATAATATTTTTTGACGTGAAAGTGAGGGAGATGAAAAGATATATTAACACCTCCACCAATAAATGCTAAAGTAAGTCACATGGAATTTCTTGTTAATTATTTCATAACTATTCATTTCATAATTATTTCTATTTTTGCAAAAGCAACTTTTTCTTTGATGTTTGGTGCTTTTCCCTCCCATTTATCATTTATGATTTGATTGATGCCTTTCATCGTTTTCCTACGAAATTATATTTTTTCAATATATTTTTAAGCGATAATACATAGTATTTCATTTCGTAATTATCTTTGGACTATTTCGAAAAGGCTCTTTTCTTTTGATATATGATCCATCTCTCGTTTATCTTTTATGTAAGTTAAACATCATACATGCTTCGTGACGACGAATTTTCAATTTTGTTTCCATTGACGTTTAACAACGTTAAAAAATGATATTACTTTTACCAAAAAAAATTGATATATACATCCTCTAAATAGACTTTTATATATAAGAATTCGAGTGCAAAGTAATTTCGCTCGGTATAATAATAATCACAGAATGTTCAAAAAGGAAAATGCTAAACAATTTCAACATGCAGGATTCGGAGGGGACAAAGTTGGATAGGCATCAACTTCAGGAAAACGAGAGATGTCGAATTTGAGTTACAAAAATTGGATTGGAGTGAACAATAATGAAAGCCTGTGCTCTGACGGCTTAGATTCCAATCTTCTGTTTACATCAAACAGTTTCTTACTATTACGTACATTTATTGATGAGTCTTATCTTTTCGCCAAAAAAGAAACAATTTTGTTTTCTCCACAAATAAAGTTTTTTCCTCTCTAAACACTGTAGTATCATGCGACGGTGAATATATGATGAATTTAATTTTCATGTCTATAACTGCCCAAAAAGTAATATTTTCCCCACTTCGTTATGTATGGGCTAGCTTGGACTACACGTCATGGACTCATGGAAGTAAAAAGTGAGTTGTCATTATGATTTTTATAAACAATGTGGGTTTGGTTGATTATAGAAACTGACCTAAGAAAGAAGATTAGAAACTGACTTTCCAGCACTGAAAAGGAAAAGAGACTATAAGGAAACAAAACTTTTTTTGTAAGTATTTTTATACTATGTCATGTATATTTTACGAGGTATCGGCACGTAATAATAAACCTGAGACTTGCATGTAATAATCATAATTGTGGACAATGTATCACAACTCTGAAAAGTGGTGCAAGCCAAGACAAAACGACCCATACCGCCAGTCCATCACACACACATAACATAAGAGTACCTAAGTAACTATCTGTATATTATATAGTACAATCGAGCAATAGACCAGCGAACCAATAGTCTATAATCCCAAAACATTTTTTTTGAAGAAAATTATATACACATAGACTCTTAAATCTGTAAAAAGAGAATTATTTTATTGAAACATTCAATAAATCGTATATAAACCCTAAAATCCCAGAATCAGTCCTATACACTAAAATAAATTTGATACTGTAATTACATTGATATTACATTAGTGAATATTAATATTTTCAATAAGCCTTGGGAACACAGTTTCAGATAGAAATCAATTGGTTTGGATATATCGGATAAATTATTTTTATATCTAATAGATATTTATGAGATTTTGATTTAGTTTCGGATGCAGAATATATTATATAACATGTTAATTTAAATGGTTTAGTGTTTACACATTTGCTTATTCATCAAACCAACAAAAATTCAAATGAATAATTATATTTTAATATAAAAATTAAAATATTATATATAATATAAAAATAGATAAAAGATAATGTGGTCTAGTGATAACAATGTTCTCACTCTTCGGATTGGTTCAAGTGGGTTTGATATTATTTTATCTTGTATTAAAAAAATTAATTGTTTTTTCCAGATATTCGGGCATCTTTTCGGTTTTTCGTTCTGTTATTTTGGATATAGAAATATAGGAACCATTCGGATATTTTAGCATTTTGGTACAATTTCGGTTTTGGATACTTCAATTTGCTTTTTCGATTCCTATTTTTTCCCTAGTCCAATGAATGAACAATCGTCTCTAGCGTTAGACCAAAAGAAAAACGTCTCTAGCGATGGACAATAGTCGACAGTTTCTTTTTAGCAACAAAATAAAAACATTATAAAGTAATTATTTTCTCTCTTATAAATCATGCAAGTTTTGAACACTTTTTTTCATTGATATTTGGAGTCACCCATTTGTATTCTTGTTCGGTGTTCAGACCGAACTGTTTATAATCTCTCTTAATTAAAGTTAAACTAGTGGTTTTCAATACTGTCAAGAGCACTAAACCACAATATAGTTGCTATCATCAAATTCATAAGATAAACCAAACCGCGTAGAAAGCACCATTGACGATTTGACGTTCGAAGATTTTTATTTTGCCATTTTTAATTGAGCATCTTTTATTGTTGTTTTTTCTCGATATCTTCTTGAAAGTATCGATATGTTAACTATATAAAGTTTTTTAAAACAATAAAACTATCAGGTGAGTGACAATGGTAGTATGCTAAAGTATTTAAGAGTTTCTTTCCAAACGGAAACTCCTAAAATATCTCTTCAATTTCTCTTACTTTTTATATATTTAATTTTTAAATATACTTTAAAC